TATATGTGTGTATATAAATAAATATAAACATAAAAAAATATAGAAATAGATATATACTAAAAAAAAAAAAAAAAAAACACACATAATAATATATAAATAAAAATAGTAGTATATAATAACTATATATATATATATATATATATATATATATATATATATATATATAGATATATATATCTATATATATGTATATATATATCTATATATATATATATATATATATATATATATATATATATATATATATATATATATATATATATATATATATATATATATATATATATATAATTATTAAATGATTGTGCAAATGTGACCTAAATAAAAATGTCAACTAATCAATTGAAGAATCCACCTCATCAATTAAACTCCAACTAAATAAATTTGATAACGACATAGACATTTGCCACATATCATTCATATATGACATAGATCCTCTTTTTATATTGGGATAATTAGTGAAAAACCCCCAATATATTTGATTATATTAGGATGGATATAGCTTCATTTTACATATAATTAGTGAGAACCCCCTTATTTTATATTTTAATTAAACATAAATTCAGATTTTAAGTGGTATGTCTATATTACCCTTAGTTATCATATAAAATCATCAAACCCTATTTCTCTTCTTCATCTCCTTTTTTTCTCTAGCCACTACCTCTCTCTCGTTTCTATCCCCAACCCCAAACCAGATATCATATCCCCACCGCCACCCTCCGTCAAATGCCATCGTCCCTGCTCTCCGTCCACCGCCGTCGTCGCTGCCCTCCATCCACCGCCGTCGTCACCGCCTAACGGTACCCTCGTTAATCCTTTACTCTTTTTGAGTCTCGCCAAATACCAGAAGCCGTCATTCAGTAAGCAACAATCGCTCTCCGATTGCCTCGAGTCGCGGCTCTTGCCGATTCATTCAGCCCGAGGATGAAACCGGTGATAAAAAAAACTCATCGGAGCAAAGCAGTTAAGTCATCCTATCTTTTGCCAATTTTAGATGGAATTTTCAGATTCGGTTCAGATCTGTATTTATAATTTTCGATAAAAATGTGGTTTGTAATTGATTTTCGATATATTGTAGAGTGTAGTTGATTTTTTATACTAATTTTCTCAAAACCACTTTAGGTATTCGCAGTGGCGATCTAATGTGGCAGAGTGGTAATTGACGGTTGACGCAAGGGATTTGCGTCCTTTCTTCACATGAGAGTCGTTGACATGTAGAAGTTGGGAAGTGGTTGAGACAGTGGCGAAGGAACAAATCACCCTCACAACATATGGCCGGTGGAGATATAGCCCCTTTTCGATGGATATGCGACTGTAATGTCCAGCATCTGGATTGAACTATAGTTGTTTAATCTCTTAAATTGAGATTTTTTATTTTATAGTTGATTTAGTAAATTATAGTTGTTTTTGATTTTTATAGTTGGTTTAGATAATTTTAAGTTGATTTGATAAATTTTTTGGTTAATTTCAATTTGTTATGGTTGATTTTCGTTAATTTGTAGTTGATATAATTTTAGTAAACCTGCTATTAAATATACCTATTTTTTGTGATTGTTGGTTCGAGAAATAAACGAACAAAAAAAATAGTTGCTTTCAGTAATCTATAGTTGATTCTGGAAATAGTCAATTTTAAAAATAGTTGATTTCAGAAATAGTTGATTCCGAAAATTTTATAGTTGTTTTCAAAATTTTATAATCGATATGAAAACAAAAAACTGTACAATAAAAATAATAAAATTGAAAAAAATTTAAATAAATAAATGAATATTATAATTAAAAGAAAAAAAATGAACTAGATATTAAAGTAGTGGAGAGTGAATAGTAAATAAGGGTAAATTTGAGAATTAAAAAAAGTTGGACCTATCACTAATAAAGGAAATGGGGCTGGACCCATCTTTATTAAAAAAATACTAGAGGGGTTCTCACTAATAACCCCTTTTATATTATATGTAGATAATTGGGCTAGAGAATAGAGATCCACAAATTAGGCTGGACTAAAGTGTCAACAAAAAAACAACGGAAAAAACTAAGAGGGACCAAGGAAAAAAAAAGAAGAAAAATTGGAGGAAAAAGTTGAAAAGTCCATTAGTTTTTCGTATTTCTCCACAAATAAATTAAATTAAATTAACAACAAGGGATTTGATTTGCGTGATCATTTAGAAATAGTTGATTCCGAAAATTTTATAGCTGTTTTCAGAATTTTATAATCGATATGAAAACAAAAAACTGTACAATAAAAATAATAAAATTGAAAAAAAATTAAATAAATAAACGAATATTATAATTAAAAGAAAAAAAATGAAATAGATATTAAAGTAGTGGAGAGTGAATAGTAAAGAAGGGTAAATTTGAGAATTAAAAAAAGTTGGACCTATCACTAATAAAGGAAATGCCATCTTTATTAAAAAAAATACTAGAGGGGTTCTCACTAATAGCCCATTTTATATTATATATAGATAATTGGGCTAGAGAATAGAGATCCACAAATTAGGCTGGACTAAGAGCATCTCCCACCCTTAACACCATTTTTTCACCGAATCCTATTTTTGGTGGTGAAAAAATGGTGTTATCTCCCACCCGTAGCACACCATTCTATAATTTCTCTATTTTTAGTGACAAAATAGTGTATTTGGTCTCCCACCAATTTCATCAAATTTTACACCAAATAATAAAATGTTAGTATTTCACCATTTTACCATTTATAGAGAATAGGATTTGGTTTGGTCTCCCATGACATTTCACCAAATATATTACAAAATCATAATTTTAATGTTAATTGTAAATTTAGTCTATTTTATTACCAAAATATTGATTATGAATTTGATCTTAAACAATGATTTTATTAAGTATATAATTTAAAAATTATGATAAATATCAAAAATTTATTAAAACATGAATGAAAATCGACTTAGATTATTATACATATAATAAAACCATGAATAAGCAATAATTTCACTAATTATTTCCTAAAAACCTTACAACATAAATTAATCATAAAAAACATTACAACATAAATTAATTATAAAAATATTACAACATTTGTTTTGGCCAAAAAAATTATTTCATTGATAATAAGGGTCTCATTAAAACCTTGTTTGTCCTTACAAGGAAAGTGTACCTCTTATTAGCAGATGAGTCTCATCCACCATTATTATTGTCATCATCTTCAACATCATCTATTTGATCACGTTTATCCCTCAAATGTGCTACCAGTCTTCTCCTTATATAGTTCATTATGCTCTCCTCGATTTATCAGATTTTGATGTTGATTAAGAAAATTATCATATTTTGTATTACCTAAATCTCTTGAAAGCTTAGCAGGCGGGACAGTGGATAAACTTTCATAGTCAAGGTTGTCGTGTAGATACCCACCACGTTCTTCTTCATGTAAGTCTTCTTTCTTACAAAATCGAGTTGCTCCTCTAATAATTGCAAACCAAGCTTGAAGAACTCCAAATGCCCGTTCTACATCTTTGTGATATGATTCATGTTTCTGTACGAAATATTTTTCTTTGGCGCATTTGGGTTCACTAATGGCTAATGGCTTGTACTAAAGTTGACCATTTATGATAAGTACCGTCAGCTAAATAATAGCCGACATTATATTTCCTACCTTTGATTGAATAATTAACTGATATAGATGTACCATGGGTCAGTGCTTGAAATAAAGTTGATTTTTGTAAGACATTAACATCGTTCTTTGTAAAACTAATTCACTAATTAACACTAGTATATTTACTATAAATATGTTTATAAGTTGGTAATCCCATGAAATTAGTTAATATAATAATGTTATATGCTAGTTATAAAATGGTGTTAATTACACCAAATCCTATTTTCACTTCTATATTTGATAGAATAAATAGGATTTGGTGAAAAAAAAATGGTAAAATGGTGGATGGATGGGAGATGAAAATTTCTTCACCAAAAATTTGCTGAAATATAGGATTTAGGGATATAGTGATATAGAGTTTGACTGGGGTGGGAGACTAAACTAAATCACTATACTTTTAGGTGTAACGGTGATTTAGAGATTTAGGTTGGGAGACTAAAAACACCTAAATTAGGTGATAATTATAGGATTTGGTGATGGGTGGGAGATGCTCTAAAGTGTCAACAAAAAACAACGGAAAAAACTAAGAGGGACCAAGAAAAAAAAAGAAGAAAAATTGGAGGAAAAAGTTGAAAAGTCCATCAGTTTTTCGTACTTCTCCACAATTAAATTAAATTAAATTAACAACAAGGGATTTGATTTGCGTGATCATTTGGGGGAAAAAAAAAAGAAATTCCAAAAATGAAAATGAAACTGAAAAGATTTGCATCAATTCCAGTTCTATCAGTGGTTATTTTAGTAGGATTCGTTCATTATGTGACGGTATTTGTATTCATCGAAGATTGGTTCGGATTGCGGAGCTCAGCTGGTTTGCTAAACTCTCTGATCTTCACTTTCTGGGGTTTTCTGTGTGTTTTCTCACTCTTAGTGTGTGTTCTTCGTGATCCTGGCCGCGTCCCATCTCGTTATGTGCCTGATGTTGAAGATAATCAAACTCAAAATGTGAGCCCTAATTTTTTTTTTCCGTGTTATTACACTTTTTGTCGATGCAACTGCATTTCATTGAT